GCGAGAGAGCCCGCGGGAGGGGCCTGATCCGTCAACGAACCCCCGTGAACTTGCAAATATGATGATCCAGGTACTGCAACCAATGATAAAAAAGGAGATCGAAAAGAACCTGCAAGGGCCATCTACTGGGGCTAGGATGACCCCTGATGGGAAGTTTGTGAGGCAGGTCCCGCACTCAAAGCTATCCGTAGTACCGGAATCAATGGATGATATGCCACACCGCGATGCCCTTTCGGGTCAGGAGGTTGAGTTTATCCGAAACCAAATGGGTTCAATGCCCCCGAGGGTACTCCCTGAAAATCAACACGACATCGCAATCGAGGACTTCATCAATTATCTCCGTGAGATTGCTACTATGACCCAAGTACCAGCATTTTACATTGCAAAATGGGAAAGTAGTGGGGTATCATCGCTCAAGGACCTCAAGAAATTTCTGGTAACAGTTGACAGGGGTATGATGATGACTGCGGCAAATCTGAACATGAAGATACCTTCGGCATTGCAAGCAGCATTTCCCAAGTGGCGCGCTTCCAGGTACTGGAAACGGGACATGGAACTTTTCTATGGGTTCGCAGGGAAGCTTGCAGGTGAACTACTGATCACTGAGTATATTCAGCTCTTGAGGGCCCTTCACGCGGCATGGTGTGAGTCCGTAAAAAAGGGTTTGGAGTCAGGAAGCCTTGACAATATGCCGATGCAGGATATCATATTCATGCAAACAACTTGCAATAAGAAGTTGAAAAGAGAAGAGCAGGCTGAGAACTCGGTTTTATCAATAATTGACTCCATGGAGAACTGCCAGGAGTCATGCATGGAGGGGGATACTGGCGCGCACACTGAAGCCATGGAGTTGGTAGCTCAGATGCTGGCATTGATGTCAAAACAACCAACAGATAGGCCTGCTTCGGAGTCACAATTTGGGGATCTTAGGTTCAGCACTATGACGCTACTTCAGTTGAGACTCCAGATAGATATGCGAGAGCTTACAAAGCATGCACTAGGGAGCAATATGGGAAAGCTACTTCGTCTTTGTTGGGCCGGACCGTGGGGACAACTAGATGAACATCTCAAGAAACACTTTGGGTGGTGTTGCGAAAGTCACAAAACATTCCCAAGGCGGTTCGAACTATCAGTATGGGCTGCGATACTCCACGGGCTCCAGGAACTAAAGAAACCAGGAACACTTGTCAGATACAACTACTTGCACAAGTCGCCAGTTGACCCTGAAGGTTTCAAGATCCAAGATATCCTGTTTGGAAATGCGCCTGATTCGATCACTGTGCTAACGGGAATGATGGCAAAGCGAGGGTCTCGATCGCCATCACAGGGGAGCAAAAACTCTGCAACATCCGCAGCTAAGGCCATTACAGCGAGACCTTTTGGAACCAGCCTTGCTGGACAGGGGACTACCAATAATACGTCTTTAGCAATTCCTCAGAGACGCCAACTTGGGGTGGGCACCTCCGCGGGGCTGGACCCTGCATCGATTGCAGGGATGATACAACCATTTGGTGGGGACATATTCTCGGATACGGGTATTTCCCGAGAGACATCTCCTGCATCGAGGGTTGCTACGGGAGACCTTGGGATGACAAAGGATGTTATGGGGTCATCGACGCGGACTCAGGACCTTGGGGTAATGGCTACAAAATACAGTCTTGGAGTCCCTGAGGGGGCCTCTCAGAGTCCTCGGTACGCGGCACCACCCCGCGACACCGGGAGGCCGTGGTACATAGGAAGTCTCAGAAACGGATTTATAATCCCTGAGGGGTTTAAGATGGAGGATTTGTTTCGCCCGGGAGCTTGTCCGCCAAATACCCGCGTCACATCGAGGCTAGCACCTGACGGCATGCTATACCCATCGCTTGTAGATACTGCGACTGGACAGGAGGTGTGTGGGCCTGCTCTGGACCCGCTACCTGTATGCTTGATGTGGTGTTTTGAAAGATGCTATTACAAGCGCTGCAGGTATTCTCACCCCAGGACGAGTTCCAAAAACAAGTTTGATGTGGAGCTAATATGCAGTGAGGTCCAGAAAAGGGTTCCAGCACTTACTGGAGATGCCATCGAAACCATTGTGACAGAGCGACATCAAGAAATGACTGTAAGTGAAAAATGCCACAAAGACGACAAAGACAAATCCCTGGAGGACATAAAGCGAGTCTTTGTTGAAAATCCACCTGCTAGGGTCACTCGGGAGATCGACATGCATGAGAAAGTGATGGCTGATGGGGGGAGCG